CTCTAACCTTTTCTCGAATACCCAAAACTGTGCATTAAAAAAATAACACCCCAACTTCATAGTTCCATATCTTAATCGGAAAAAACCTAACCTTTGTAACCAGTAACCACTAGCAACAGCTCCACCATAGCAGAGCCAACATACCAAAACCCAAACAAACCCAGATTAAAAGATCCTGACTTTTTGGCTCGATTCTCACTAACAGTCGACACGCATTATGAATATCAGAAAAACTTAGAAATCAAATGATGCAGGTTCAACTGAATCACAACCCCTCTTCACAAAACTTAGTTCTGCATGGTGTACATATTAAAATGGAAGAATAATGTGGTTCCGTTAACTCGAAAGAGAACGGAAAATGGAAAGCCTTCAAAGGGGTTCTTGCTTTCCAACAAGAGTTTCCGACCCGATCCCGGCAAGGAAACAATCTGAGCAGGGGAGAGAGAATCTGCGTTTAGTTTTATAGGAAAGAGAACGGGTTTAGGAACAGAGAAAAGCCTGTAATCAAGGCGCAAGTATTGTAATTTTGCCTTGGAGTCCTCCTCAGGGAACCGTAGTACTTCGGTGTCTCCCTCTTTTTAACTGTATAACGGTTAACCCTTATGTAAATGGTAACACTAAACAGTAACATAAAGTGTTTTTTAGTATAAGTTATATTTCTTTAATTAGATTATTGAAAATTTCAAAAATCTAAAATAGAATGGGTTAAATTGCTCTTTATATTTAACTTATTGTATTTAGTTGGTTAAAAACTCGATTGATTTGAAAAAAAAAAAATTATTTTTCAAAATTCCTTTATGCTCAAAAAAAGAAAATTTGACCTTCATATTTATTTATTAATGATGTTTTAATTTTTTTGAACAAAGTGGTAAGGATGGGTTCGAACCCACCAAGAGAAGGGGACTGTATCTCCAAAGTAGTTTAAAGGTTACTTGGCTCGAAGAGTTAGATGCTATTAATGATGTTTTAATAATTTTAATATTTAAATTATAAAAAATTATGATTTATATTGAAAAACACCTCCCGTAAACAGTAAATACTAGTTCTTTTAATCTTCATTTGTTTTCTTTTCAATTTTTAATAATAAATATTATTTTTGAAAAATAATTAGTTAAAAGTGAGTGTTTAAACAAAGTCAATTAAGCGTTTATTAATTCAAGACAATCTC